TTGGCATCAAAAACGGGCAACGGTATTTTTGGTAAAAATTCATGTAAAAATTGTACCCTCAAATATCCTAACTAGACCATAAGTCAAAATTCCCCAACCCCATAACTCGGTCAAATCTCATACGATTTTAAAAAGGTTTGGCGTTTTGTTCATGGTTTGACCTCTATATCAATTTGGCATCAAAAACGGGCAACGGTATTTTTGGTCAAAATTCATGTAAAAATTGTACCCTCAAATTACTTATATAGACATAAGTCAAAATTTCCCAACCCCATAACTCGGTCAAATCTCATCCGATTTTAAAAAGGTTTGGCTTTTTGTTCATGGTTTGACCTCTTAATCAATTTGGCATCAAAAACGGGCAACGGTATTTTTGGTCAAAATTCATGTAAAAATTGTACCCTCAAATTACTTATATAGACATAAGTCAAAATTTCCCAACCCCATAACTCGGTCAAATCTCATACGATTTTCATAAGGTTTGGCTTTTTGTTCATGGTTTGACCTCTATATCAATTTGGCATCAAAAACGGGCAACGGTATTTTTGGTCAAAATTCATGTAAAAATTGTACCCTCAAATTACTTATATAGACATAAGTCAAAATTTCCCAACCCCATAACTCGGTCAAATCTCATACGATTTTCATAAGGTTTGGCTTTTTGTTAATGGTTTGACCTCTATATCAATTTGGCATCAAAAACGGGCAACGGTATTTTTGGTCAAAATTCATGTAAAAATTGTACCCTCAAATTACTTATATAGACATAAGTCAAAATTTCCCAACCCCATAACTCGGTCAAATCTCATACGATTTTTATAAGGTTTGGCTTTTTGTTAATGGTTTGACCTCTATATCAATTTGGCATCAAAAACTGGCAACAGTATTTTTGGTCAAAATTCATGTAAAAATTGTACCCTCAAATATCCTAACTAGACATAAGTCAAAATTCCCCAACCCCATAACTCGGTCAAATCTCATCCGATTTTCATAAGGTTTGGCTTTTTGTTCATGGTTTGACCTCTATATCAATTTGGCATCAAAAACTGGCAACAGTATTTTTGGTCAAAATTCATGTAAAAATTGTACCCTCAAATATCCTAACTAGACATAAGTCAAAATTCCCCAACCCCATAACTCGGTCAAATCTCATCCGATTTTCATAAGGTTTGGCTTTTTGTTCATGGTTTGACCTCTATATCAATTTGGCATCAAAAACTGGCAACAGTATTTTTGGTCAAAATTCATGTAAAAATTGTACCCTCAAATATCCTAACTAGACATAAGTCAAAATTCCCCAACCCCATAACTCGGTCAAATCTCATCCGATTTTCATAAGGTTTGGCTTTTTGTTCATGGTTTGACCTCTAAATCAATCTGCCAACATTTTTTTTGGTCAAAATTTGTACTCATAAATATCCCATAAAGACAAAATGTGCCACTTATTCTTGTACTAACTGACCTTCTCCGCCACAGTGCGACTCAATCCTGCCAATACCCTGCAAAGCACTTTAACCACGCGGCGAAACAAATGTCAAAACATGAAATAAACCCGCGCAGGCAAACAAAGATAAATTCCGCCCTACCCTAATCCCAGCACCCCTCCCCCTCCCACCTCCTGTCACACCCTTCCGCAGGGCAATAAAAAACAATGCAACTCAATTGGAGCACGCGGCCAAATGCCGTCGCTGACGAATGGCAACCCTGCCAGAGTCTGTTACGGCGCCCCCACACGCATGCCCCTCCCCCCCCTCTCTAGCTGCTGCTACCCTCTATTTCGAGAAATGCAAAAGCCAAAATTTACTGTGTGAATTCGGGCGTTCAGTGGCACATGCAAAATGAAAGTGGAAATGGAAAAGGAAAAGGAAGTGGAAATGGCGCCTGAAAATTTGCAGCGCGGCGAGGCCAAAACCACAATGAGCCCCAAAATTGCCAACATAATTTATGTGCATGTGCATGCCTATGTGTGCGTGTGCGTGAGTGTGTTTGGACTCTGCCATTGCTAATTAGCGGCATAATTTAATTCCCAATTGGCAATTGGCAACGCAGCGCAGAGCCGAGTGTCGACATCAGGCTGAATTCCAATTGGAAGCAGGCCCTGCCAATGGTTACGAACATTTTAAATGAGCGGCCTGTTGCGCCAAACACATACGCACACACACGCACACACACACACATACACCAATATATACATACACTCGGAGAAAAAATATGATCTTCATTCTAGTATGTAAATATCAGGCCAATAAAAGTTTTTGAATTTGGTTTTAAATAAAATAAATAAATACAATTACGTATTATAAGAAAATAATTCTTATTCTTACTGCAAGAATTTATATAGAAATTGAAAATAAAATTTCCCATTAATAATAATTATTTGTATTATTAATAATAAAAAATGAAATTCTTAAAACAAGAGCTAAAGAGCATTTCGAGCTTGGCTTGGCTTTCGACAACGTTTGAACATGATTCAATATAACTTAGTATTTTCTTCAAGTGTATGCAAAGCAATAGGTTTGCCTCATGTGCTGGCACACGACGACAAACAACTTTTTTTGGCTGCGAGCGTGTCCTGCATGGGAAATGATGCCCCGAGCCAGGGCCAGAGCCTCATTTTGGAGGCGTCTCCAGCTGCTGCAGCAACGGTTAAAGCCAAGCAAAAATCGCTGACGACTGATGCCGAAGGGAAATCGAATTAAATTAAAATTGCAACTGACACACACAGATACACACACACACACACACACTTACACACATATGCTCCCGCCATGCGTGGGGCATTACACTAACAAATGATGTTGACCGCCCGTGGGTCGAGCTGTTAATTAATCTTGATTTTCAGGCGAGAGTGCGAGTCGCTTGCGTCAAAGTGACAATTAAATTAATCATGGTGGCAAACGATTATGTCAACAGGAGAAGCTGGACATCCAGCAGGACATGGAGCAGGACATGGAGCAGGACGCCCGCAGCGCGGCGACGACTAGGAAGCAAGGCTCTCGGATTTGGGTTCGGCGCTTGCCCCAGAATCTCATTATGTCTGCTATAAAACTTATAATTAACATTTTGACCGCAACAAAATTCGCAACAGTCGCATTCCGTGCAAACTAGGCAAGAGTTATGGAAGCTTCAACAAAAAAAAAAAGGGTTTAAGATATAAAAAACTGCATTTGACCGCAAGCAAGTGTGAACTTTATGCTAGAGATATTTTTAATTAGTTTTGCGGTTTTACATTCCATGCTCTCAATTTAAAAGGCATATAGAAAAGGTATTCAAATTGATGCTTTAAAGGTCGGTTATAAATTTACATAGAATTTAAATATTTCAATATGTTAAAACCAAATTCATCAACACTCAGAACTAGAGATGACACGAACCCAAACTGCACGCAACTCTACATAGTTTTGTCTACATTTTTTTTACTCTGTCCAATTTTGTAGGAAATCCGCTAAAAACTAATTAAGAATTTTATTTTTGTTTCAAATTCCCAAGTTTTTTTCTCTTCAAGCTTCATTTCTATGCAACATTTGAAAATTCCTCAAATGCCATTGTTGGCGCGCTCAAAACATACGAAATATGGCTTTTTGCATGTCCAATCAGAAAAAATGGCGCGCGCCCAACTCTACACAAAACTCAAAATCATTGACAAGAACAACAAAACATACATATGAATATAGCCAATACACACACCATCGCTTTTGCTGTCATGCAATGAATTTGTTTCGTTCAGTTTTACGTTCGGTGTGAAATGTGTCGGTCAGTCGATTAATAACACTGTTGCAACTTGTAGTGTTGCAAAAACAAAAAAAGAAACACTCGCACGAGGCTACAAAGCAAAATTAAATATAAATCAGTTAATTGAAACAAAAAGGCGAAATAGTATGGCGGAAACAGAGCCAGAGGTTGAGGTCAATGGCACCGAGGTCGAGGAGGATGGCCAGGACGAGGACATCAAGCAAAAGAAGCAAACGCGTCACGACGGCGGCGCCGCCGACCTGGAACGTGTGACAGACTACGCGGAGGAGAAGGAAATCTCGGCTGCAAATATATCGAGCGTAAGCAGGAGTCAAATAATAATAGCAAAGAAACTAATTCAAATGGAAATTGTTAACTTTCAGGCCGTGGAACAGTTTGGCAATCAGCGCAGCAAAGAAAACGAGATGCGAGTGGCCAAGGAGAAGGAGCTGCAAAAGGTGCAGGTGAAGAAGGAGGACATCGAACTGATCGTGAGTATAAACCATGACCACTTACCCATGTAAAAATCCAATAAAACACGCTCTTTCCGCTGTAGATGAACGAACTGCTCGTGAGCAAGGCCCAGGCCGAGAAGGTGCTGCGGGAACAGAGCGGCGATGTGGTGGCCGCCCTGGAGGCCATCATCAGCAATTGAGCCGCCGGCTCATCCAGCCTGGACACGCCGTCTGTTTCCTTTACTTAGCATAACACTGCTTTATTTGTACATTTATAACTAGTAAAGAACAAAAAGAGAAAACCTGTTTGTAACGCGTCCTTCCGACCATGTCCAAGATGTCATCCGGAAACAGTTTGATTTTAAACTAACTTACATATTTCCAGACTCTTAATTTGTGCTCTAGATGATTAGATAATTTTAAAACTTGATTCAGCTGCTGTTTTCATCCTTGCTGCTCCACAGACGCCTTTCAAAGGGCTCCATTAAAAAGGTTTTCCATTTTGTTTATTATATTTAATGTATTTATTTAGAGCACTATCCATTGTTGACTTCTCTCTGGTCTTGGTAAAACATTTGCCAATTTGACTAACGAACCAGCACGTACAGTGAAAGCTCTCTGAACGGACAGCTTCTGCAGAAAGAGTTTTCATTGTATGCCGTTCAATTTAATTTATGAATGAAAATAATTGTCTAGCTAGCAAAAAACCCGAAATTGACATTTGGATATTGCTTTAGTTAAGAATTTCAGATGCCCGTTTCAGCAGATATTTCCAAAGTCGGCTGTTTCTCATTAAATCTATGCATAAATGTGTTTAGTTTGATTTGATGTGGTGTCTCGTGTAAAAAAGGCATAAACTATAACAAATTATTTTAAAACAAAACTCATTTTATAACAACTAGGCAGACAAAAACTAGAACCAAAACGAAAAAATGGTTAAATCACGTTTAAATTTCATTGCGAGCGTATTGCGGATATTGAAATCATGTGATTAAATACTTTTGCAGGTTCTCGCACGACGGCGTATTAATGTTCTGTGCCTTTCGATACAGATCCCGGTCACCAAACGTGCGAGCCTTGGCCAGCATGGAGTCGCCTGCAAAGCAGACATTTAAGATTAAAAATTCAATTTATAAAAGTTAAATGGATGGAAGCGATAATTACGATAGTTTCGCTCTCGACTGCAAGAGTGCTTCAAATGATTGATAAAATCTTCCTCCACCGATTCCTCGAGACGTGCCACCGAGCCCTGATATTCCGAATAGAAGTTGTCCTTGACGTAATACGGAATCTTCAGGCCGTTTGTTTCGCGCTTCACAGAGTATTTACTAGAAAATCAAATTGTTTAAATCTAGAAAATAGATTAAATAAGTAAAACTCACTGCGAGGGCGTCAGACTGTACATGGGATCCGATATGAAGAAGGAGGACATCATGGACAGGCCAATGAGCAGTAAAATGGGCAGCAAGTTGATCAAGGCAGAGGAATTGTTGGTCTGCAAGCATGGATTTGAATGTAGTTAATAATTTGTTGTTTTATTTATTAGCTTTTCTTACGTCTCTCTCCTCGCGCGCATGCTGACGGCGTCGCTGCTGCCGCATGTAGACATTCTGCTGAGAGAAGCCGCCGTTGAAGAACATGTTGAAGAGTTCCTCAGGACTGATGTCAGCCTGGAAGCCGCCGTAATCATTGTAGTGCTGGCCATGTCCATGGTGTCCGCCTCTGTTGCCATGTCCGCTTTGCGACTCATTGATGCCATATAGATCGTAATTCTTTCGCTTTTCGACATCGGTCAAAACGCCAGCAGCATTGCTCAATGTTTTGAATGCCTCGACAGCACCGGGCGCCTTGTTCTTGTCCGGATGCAGCTGCAGGGCCAGCTTCTTGTACGCCTTTTTAATCTCCGAATCAGTGGCCGCCTTGGTCACGCCCAGCACTTCATAGTAGTCCTTGCATCTGCAGGAGACATTATTGAGTTAAGAAAATCAAATTGTACAAAGACTATGATGATACACACTTTTTAACTTTTCGCACCGACTCCAGCTGATCGTTCGTGTACTCTGGTGCATGGCTCCTAGAATCCGAGTTAACACGCTTTCGCGGCCCAGTGTCCGCATCTGCGCCTGCAGCGGGACGCTCTTTGCCATTGCCGGCATTACCAGGCGAGCTTTTCACCTTCGTCAGCAGCTCTGAAAAGATTGTCGATTTACAATTAAAATGATTGCGAAAAAATTTGCTACACTCACGCTTTGCCTTCTCCGTGGGGTAAAGTCTTTCCGCTTTTAGGAGTAGCTTTTCCGCCTTTTCGGTCCTCCCCTCGGCATATGCCTGCTCAGCCATATCGATGCATCGCTGCGCCTCATCTTTGTTGCCCTCCATGGCTGCTGCAGTTATTCTCCGCCGCTGTGAATGTTGCTCGAACTAGTCGACACGTAAATACGTGGTCAAGGGGCAATATGCAATTGCAATAAATAGTTGGGCTTTGTGCGTGTATTGGTATACTACATACACGACGATTTTTGGAGCTCGCACTAAACACACACACACACACACAGAGCCTGCCGTGGTCTTTAGCAGTTTTTTTGCCACTAATTATTTGTTTAATCTAGGAGTGCACATGAGCTGCCTGGCCACTTAATAACCGAGTTTTTTTTTACTTTTATATATATTAACTAGACGGCCAGCTCAGCTCTCTAATTTAATTGATTTTACTGCGTTTCGTTGACTTTTTCATCACTTTGCAAAAGGACTTATCGATCTATCGCCTTGCCACCATAATCTATCGGCCTGGACGTAAGGTGAAAGCGCTTAGTTAAGCACACAGACTCGAAATGATTTTATTGCCAAAAATTTAAAATTGCTGGATACATTCCGTGTATGTACCCTTTTTGATAAATTGGTAATCTTAATGTTCATAAACATTAGTTATTGATTCGATAACTTCTAGTTGGCTTTGACAGCTGGTTTCAGGGCTGCTTTTACTAATAGTGCTGCCAGATCGCTGCGGTGCGCCCACTACACTTACATTTGCCGTACGTAAGTGTGTGTGTGTGTGTGTGTGTGTTTGTGAGCGCCGCAGCATGGAATGAAAAGCGCAGCGCGTTCGCTGGCTTAATTCGTCTCGTATTTATTTATAATATAAAAATAATAATAGAAGGCGCACAGAATCTGCGATGCAATAATCCCAAATACCGCGTAGCAAGAATATAGTCAAGTGCAGTGCAATAACCGATGCATTTCGGCCCATCGTCACCGTCGTCGTTGTCGTCGTCGTCGTCGTTGCCGTTGTCATCGAACGTGTGTGCGTGTGTGGCGCAGTTTATACAAGTTGGCCTGAAAAAAAGTGAAAGAAGCAATATCGCCATATTGTGTTGTGTACTAAAATCTATATAATTTTGTCAACAAAACAAATGCTCAGCTAATTTTCGTATTGCGTCGACTTATGTAAATTGAATTGACGGTACGCAATCAAGAAAAATAACTATCTACAAAGGTGCGTATGTGTGACTCTTGGGGTGTATTAATGCATACATGTGCATATATACGAATAGGCAAAACTACTACTAAACCCTTGCATGCAAGCGTGTGTGTGTGTGTGTTTTCGGAAAATGCAGCAATCCAATCTTTGTCTCCATGCTCTGTGGTCATGCGAATTGTCTGTTGCACGGGTTGATTGTTTATATTATTTCAATATATATCGAGCACAAAATTGGAAAATACAATTTAATCGATATCAATAAATATATATCGATAGGCAGCAGGGCACTTTCTGGCAAACTGTTTACATTTTCACCGTTTCGTTTTATACGGAATATATTATATTTTGTGTTTAAATGCATTGAAGATGACATTAGGTGTATTTTTGATACTCGTTAATATATAACTGCAATGGGAATTATCTATTAACATTGCTTTTTAGAAACGCTTTAGAAATGAAATTTTCACAAACCTCAGCTAAAAGACCTATAGAAAATATTACCATTAAAATTAGGTTTATAATGTTTATTATTTATTACTATTTCGGTTAATGTGGTCAAATGAATTAAGTATATGCTTTTAAGAGTTTTGGGCTCTTGGAACTTTGTAATGGGTATTTCGTAGTCGAACACTCCCGACTCGCGTATTTTTGGCTGATTTACTTTTGGTTTTTTTTTAACGAAACTTTTTATATTCCGAGGGGAATGAATGCAACACACAAAGGGAACAACAACAGCGGCAAAAAGTCAAAGACCGATTTGCGCATTTTTAATTCGTTAATTTTGTATTTTTATGCAAAGGCAAAGTAAATGCACGCGTCGTATACGATGGAAAGCACTTGCGATGGCTTTTTCCATTTCAGTCGATATGCACTTCTGCTTCGTAGTCAAATTAATATCTATTTCTAATTGATTCGTACTTATTTGATTTGTTTACAGACTCCGATCGCTGTTGCTTTTGTTCTGGCTGCTGCTTACACAACAAGCTACATACGAATTGGGTTGCTCGGTTTCTGGACAGCGCTGGCTGTCAACAGTTAAAGAAGGTGAGTTATCTGATATTGGACAAAAGGAAATAGCATAGTTACAATGTTAGTTTGATTAGGCCGGTTATCGGTTTCTTTCGGCCGGCTAAATGAGTTGTCCGCCCAAGGGAGCTTTTACTGTAGTTTATTTTTGCGCCGAGCTACATTTTAGATGCCTTCCTATGACAAGTCTTGATATGGGTGGACCTTAAGTTCCAGCATCTCAAATCTAAGCTGTTTTCTAACTATCAAATAATCCTTTCTCCCCCTGTTGGAGAAGTTCTCGTTACGCGGCGACAGCTGAGAGCGAAAACATAAAAAGCTCAACCGCAAAGGCAAACAAAGACAGAGGCAAACGCAAAGGTAGCGGCAACAATGAACAACACACGCGCGCACACACACTGCCAGCCAAAAAGCCAAGAAAAAAGCTCCCTCAGTCGTCAGCTGCTGCGCGTAGCGTGAAGTTTATGTGCTTTCCTCTCGCTGTCTCGCAGAACGCGTCTAACACAGTTGAAACAATTTGGCTAAAAACTATAAACTATATACTACTACGCGTAATCCGTTGTGGAAGAAGCTGATTTCGGTTTGCCAAGGTGTGTAAAGGTCGGGCGTCGCTTAACGTATTCAATCAATTTGTAACTGCCGGCCATAGCGTGACCCGAACGCGCGTGCTTTACCATTGCTGTATAACTGTGACCTTAATTTAAACAAATAATATCAGAAGCCAAATACAAGCAAGCTTCAAATAAGAAACACGCGCAATTAAACACAAAAAGCGAACGAGCAGAGAGCTTTACAACAACAACAACAACAACAACAACAACAACAACAAGAGCACTATGAGAAATACATAGATAACTTCCTCAATCTGGCAACGACCACTTTGCAGTACTCTTGAATTTTTGGTCGTTTGAGGTCATTCTTCAAGTACGCACAGGCAACAAGACAACAATCAAATAACAACAACAACAATTGATGATTGGCTACATCAAATTTATTACCTCATTGGAGACAAGCGGCTTTAACGAAACGCACTCAAGAGCAATTTCTTGCTCTCTTCTAATCTTAGTGACGCAAATGAACAGTTTCATTCTTATAGAATATTGCTAGCAGAAATTAGTATAAAAAATTCCGCCGCATCAAAGTTGTTTGTTTAGAAGCGTTGCCAGGTTTGTGCAAATTTTTTAACAAAATAAAATAAATGCTTGCCAACAGTAATAGCCACTGCAGTCAGCATTGAAATTCTCGAGCTGGTTCTCTCTCTTAATGTATATGTGTGTGTATGTGCTTGCGTATGTATGTATGTGTGTATGTACGTATACGTAAATATGTCTCATTCTATTTGTCTCACTCGCACACACAACACATGTTTTGATTTTGCCTTGCTGGCCGTGCAAAGTAAAATGCAATTAAAAACATGTGCGCCACTATTTTGTTTATTGTTTATAAATGAGCGCACTTATTGAAGCTCAGCTGCGCGCTCACTCCCTAATTCACTCGCTCGTTTGCGCTCTCCCAATTTGCACTATTTCTCTCGCTGAGGTCATGCTCAGCGCTCAATAGTCAAACAGACGAAACACCCACCGCTATTTACTGCTATCAAACGACCCTCGCCGGTGCAGGTTTTTTTTGCCTCGTTGCTCGTGAGCAAGTGAGTGAGCGAGAGAGTGTAAGTGAGTGGCGGGTGGCGGCAGAGTAAGCGAGCGAGCGCTTGAGTTTCTGTGCAAAGTCAAAAGTAAACGCAAGCTTTTTATTGCTGCGCAGGTTTTTGGCTTTTCGATGTGCTTTAGCTTTTTTTGTATACACACGTATGCTACATATGTGTATATACCCACACACACAAACACACACACGCACACACATTGAAGTCAATTCGACTGATATAGGAAGAACCTTGTCTACTCTCATGACTATGGAATGGAATTTAGCTAGTAGTTTTTTCCTCTCTTCTCGTTTGCGCTTCTCAATGCTGCCCGCTGTGGCCGTTGTTGTTTCTGCTGTGATTACTACACACTCACATTCACACTCACACTCACATTCCCATTCACAGTACGTTTTGTTTGGGTGCACTGTGCACCTATTCTAAAGTCGCATGCAGAGATTCCCAAAAGACCTTCCAATCGTCCCTTTACTGCTCCATGGGGTAATGTGAAGGTACTCATCTGTACATTTGCTCATCTGGCCTGGGTGTCAATGTTGACCTCGCTGTGCCCGGTGCACAGTTATTGATTTTCTTTGTATGCCCTTGCAAAAGGTATAATCCTTTTTTTTACCACTTGTGTAACGCGGAGGATCTCCGCCTCTATAGAGTATATATATATACATTCATAATCAACCGAGCCAAAATAAACGCAAATTGATTTCTGGCACTGTTTGTTATACATTTGTATAACGGTATAATTTACCGCACATCTGATAGACGTCAGCAAGGGTATTCAAGCTTTGGCATCCCAAAGTTTTATTGTTCCTTGTTTATTTTTTTCTTTTTGCTTTGGAGGCTTTTCTCAATCCCTTTGCCGGGCCATGTGCACATGAACATACCGAGGGGGAGGGGCCAGCACTGTAGAGTCAGCAATTTCTGCTGCCGTTGTTCTTGTTCTTGTTGTTGCCGTTGTTCTTGTTGTTGCCGTTGTTCTTGTTGTATTTGTTGTTACTGTGGCCGTTACCGTTGCCTTTGTTTAATTTCGTTGCTTATCACACAATGCTGATAAGTTGGTTCGCATATTTTTTTTTTCTGTTTCGAATCAAATTTTTGCTGTTGTTTTTGCTTTTTTTTTTGTCGATGGCATTGAACATTGCTTTCTGGTTTCTTCACCCTTCTTTTATACATATACATACGTGCACATCTACATATTTATATTCATATGTATATGTGTAT